GGGGGTTGCACCACCCCCCCCCCCCCCGGAGATATAACTGAAAGAAACCCTGCTCCTAGCGGGTGCCAGGGCAGCCTTGAAACTCTCGATTGATGACGAGTCCACGGCTGCATTGTCCAGTTGGTTCCAAGCAATTATTGTTCGTGGGAAGAATGATTGTTTATATTGGACTGTGTTACATCGAGGCATCTTGGAGTTGTGAGAGGTGAAGTCAGTGTTTAATGAGGGTTTGGCTCTGATTAAGCGACCCGGCTTCTGTGGTGTGAGATACGTGTTGGCTGGAATGGCCGGCACTAGCCCCGTGACCACTTAATATTGGAATTTTAAACGGAGCTTCTCTCGTCTGTCTTTGAGTGAGGGGATGCCACATTTTTTAAATTGGTCAGTGACGAAGACAGTAGTGGTGGAAATGTAGTCACTTGCGATGAAGCGCAGTGCGTTACGTTGTATTCGCTCCATCTTGTCCATGTCTTTCTTTATGTATGGGTCCCATATGATCACCCCATAATCTGGTAGCGGACGAGCGAGTGCGAGATAGGCATTTCGTTTGCAGGATGTTGGGAAGTGGCGCAGATTTATTCGAATGAAACCAAGTGTGGAGCAATGTTCCCTTTAAGCTGCGCGGAAATCTCACAGACGCCGCGCAGCAGTTTTGAGTACCGCGCAGCAAATTTCCAGGTAAGTGTGTGTTGTCTTTGTGGGCTGTAAAATGTTGCACACAAAAAAAATTGATGCTGTAAAACTTAATGATTTTGCACACGAACCAACACACCTTAGAGGGATCACTGGTGTGGAGTTCGCTTTTTAAAAAAAAATTGTTTATATGGGGTGACCTTTTTAGTTTTAGGTTATTCGAGAAGAGAATTCCAAGGTATGGATTATTTGATACTTGTTGCAGAATGGTCTTGTTTAGAGAGTACATATAGGTTGATAGTCTTTTCTTGAGATGTTCATTGTGTAGCATATGGTTTCCTTAAACTTCATGCCCAATTTTTCACCCCATTTCATAAGGCACTTCAAATCTGCTTGGAGTGGAGGTGGTTGTGGTCATCGCAGCCGTTTATCTCTCAGTAGACAAGACAGTCATTTGCAAACAGCCTCACTTGAGATTTTACAGCATCAAGGAGGTCATTTATATGACACTGACAGAAAAAGAGAAGGGGGCCCAGCTCTGTACCCTGAGGAGCTCTTGAGTCTACAGCAATAATTCAATATGGATTATATAAATGCTATTGCTACTAATAAGCTTTTCCAAGATAGTAAACTTCAGTATTTAAATATGGATAGTCAAGTGTGTATGTACTAAGTTACATCTAGATACATCCATTTTTGCAGTAGATAATTTGATTTATATTTATATAGCTCATAACCGTGTAGGAAAAAACAGATTATTATTCTACGTTCGAAGCCCCCCAAGAAATGGTAATTCATTCTGTATAGTGATGAGTCAAGTTTGGTCATGATCAACCAATCCATGAAGAAACATATGCGGACATAACAAGCCAATCTTCCCAACAATTATATAAAATATATTTGTATATAAATATAATAAATGTAAGGATAATAAATAACATATATTAAAAGGTTACGCGGCCGTCCTTTATAAATAGTCCCTAATAATTTTATAATAAGCATATTAATATTAATTATTTTTTTAACAAGCATTGCGTTGATGATCACATTAAAATTTATATTACCCTTGCCATGACCTTATTAACACTGAAGCATAAGAGTAGAGGAAACTGATCAATTTTGGCATACAAAATAGTTTTAATTGAGAGAAATATAAAATAAAAGCATTTCACATGTGTTGTGGGCTAGATTTAAAAGCGTTAACGTTTAGTGTGGGGAAGTTGTTAATCATGAGCGGATTTGTGAGTTGTTGATCGTGAGCGGATGTGTGAGTTGTTGATCGTGAGCGGATTTGTGAGTTGTGGTTATTGGTCTTGATTTCAGATCACGGGCTTTTAATTAGTGTATGCTGGGTGTTCATTGTGTAGACAGGGAGTTCGGCTGTTGGTTAGCGTGATCGTGAGTAAGATCAGTGTCATTGTAGTGATGGTTGAGCAGAGGACGCTTTCTTGAATCTGTTGCTCCTCCGTGTAAATAAAGAACTAGGATAGTAGTGTAACCCGTAGATAACGTTGAGTCTACTGGACCGTAAGTAAACGTACCTACTGAGGGTTTGTTAAAGTGTAAGGAGGAAGATCCTAACACGTGAAGTCTTAAGAGTATCGTAACAACATGCAAAGGAAAAGGGATGATTTCATCAATAAAGAGATGGTCTACTTATATTAATGATCTTTCATGTGCTGTGCACATAAGAAATACAAAGAATATTTTCAAGTAGACTTTGTACAGCCAATAACTGATAATAATTAATAAAATATATAAATTTGTCTGAACATCAACTTAAAAACATAGATAGAAAAGTCAAAGTTTATACAATGAAACAAATAAGGTGATAAGAGAGAATACTGAAATCAAGTGTTTTAATGTTCTAATGTATTTTACATTGAGGGTAGGAACTGACATACAATACAGATTATAACTAGGTTATCTCAGGCTAAATTTCACATGACACTATAAAGAGGGCTAGGACATTATAGAAAATTAATTTATGCAGGATTATTTAATATTTATAAATGTGTCACATAAAAAGTATAAACCCAGATTCTTATGCAAGCCTAAGTCTTGTTGAAATGTAAAAGTAAGTTGTTTTGTCCTTTGTAACTAGTTATGTTTTATTGTTATAGTTTGTGTAAAAGTAAGTTGTTTTGTCCTTTTGTGACTAGTTATGATTTATTGTTAATATGTGTCAAAGCTTTTCCACAGAATCAAATTTGAAAGGTTTTTCTTCTGAATGTGTCCTTTTGTGTGTAGTTAGATTACCATTTTGTGTAAAACCTTTCCCACAGACATCACATTTGAAAGGTTTTTCTTCTGAATGTGTCCTTTTGTGTATAGTTAGATTACCATTTTGTGTAAAACCTTTCCCACAGACATCACATTTGAAAGGTTTTTCTCCTGAATGTGTCTTTTTGTGTACAGTTAGATCAATACTCCTTGTAAAACCTTTCCCACAGACATCACATTTGAAAGGTTTTTCTTCTGAATGTGTCCTTTTGTGTATAGTTAGATTACCATTTTGTGTAAAACCTTTCCCACAGACATCACATTTGAAAGGTTTTTCTCCTGAATGTGTCCTTTTGTGTACAGTTAGATCAATACTCCTTGTAAAACCTTTCCCACAGACATCACATTTGAAAGGTTTTTCTCCTGAATGTGTCTTTTTGTGTACAGTTAGATCAATACTCCTTGTAAAACCTTTCCCACAGACATCACATTTGAAAGGTTTTTCTTCTGAATGTGTCCTTTTGTGTATAGTTAGATTACCATTTTGTGTAAAACCTTTCCCACAGACATCACATTTGAAAGGTTTTTCTCCTGAATGTGTCCTTTTGTGTACAGTTAGATCAATACTCCTTGTAAAACCTTTCCCACAGACATCACATTTGAAAGGTTTTTCTCCTGAATGTGTCCTTTTGTGTGCAGTTAGATTACTAGATATTGTAAAACCTTTCCCACAGCCATCACATTTGAAAGGTTTTTCTCCTGAATGTGTCCTTTTGTGAACAGTTAGATCACTACTACTTGTAAAACCTTTCCCACAGACATCACATTTGAAAGGTTTTTCTCCTGAATGTGTCCTTTTGTGTCGAGTTAGACTAATATTTTGTGTAAAACCTTTCCCACAGACATCACATTTGAAAGGTTTTTCTCCTGAATGTGTCTTTTTCTGTTTGAGTTGTCTGACTCTCACAGGAGAAGTTTCTTTCTTCTTTAGACTTCTTTGCAACAAGTATTTTCCCACATTTGATTGGTCAGTTTGTTCTCTGGATACTTCCACCTGCTTCATTTTCCAATAGTCGTCATTGTGTTTTCTTCTCAAGTGATTGTCAAGGAATATTTGATGTGAGAATGCAAGAGTACAAAATTTGCACTTGAAAATATCTGTAACACATAAGACAATGATAAAGTTAATTAGTTACTTCATTTAAAGTAATCAATATGATTTAAAGAACAAAAATAAAAGTGGATTAGACCCTTAAAATGAAAAACAAATGTCATTCCATGCATAACATAATTAAATGACTTAATTTCTATAAATACATAATTATAAATGCGAAAATTGGAAACCAGAAGTCATTTATATAATGAAGACAAACAAGCATTATTCCACATGTTTAAAATATGTTAACAATACCTAGTACTATAAATGTGTATTGGAAAGTTGAAATGAAAAACAAATGTTATTTCAAGTATTAGTCAAACATACAACTTAGTTTCTATAAATACATATTTATACATGACAAAATTGGCAGCTAAAAGTCTTTATACATTGAAGACAAGCATTATTCCATATTTTTACAAGATGTAAATAATACCTAGTACTACAAATTATCAAAATATAAGCATACCCTCAACTGGTCCTGATGGACTACCATCTCTATCATCCTGACTAGGATTAAGCACACAACCATTGCTTGTTGGAATGATGAATTCATTTACTCTTGGATGTTCTGACCCCTTAGATGAGGATATTCTGCTAACTTTGCCAACAACCTGCATGTCTATTCCTAACTCCTTGGCATAACTGTCCCCATAGTATACCTGATAGTGGCACAAAAATATTTAATAAATCTTTTGTCACCATTGTATGCCTGGCATGAATTTATAAAACATACAACTTATTCAGTTTAGAAAACAAATAAGTCAATTACTCAGAATTTCTTATTAAAGAGGACTGAAGCTCTTCTTTACCTCTTAGTCCATACATGTATTCATAAATCATCTGATTATTTTCTAAGCATTGTACTATTATAGCGTTTCAGTGCCTAGGACCTAAGTTATGGTTGGTAAATCAGCTATTTGATGAAAATAAACTTATTTTTTGATAAAACTAAATTTTAATCAAACACAACATATGCTAAATCCTTAGATATGTTCAGAGAATGCAGCTAATTAGCTAGGCCAAGTTTCACACTGGAAAGGTAGTGTGAGCATTCCACTAGGAGATACTTAACGTCAGCCTTGCTTTTGACCTTTGCAACCCCTGTTATACACTGGGTCTTGGTGCGTTTCTTTCCTGGGATTCTGAGATCCTTTCTTTCCTGGGATTCTGAGATCCAGCACAATTTTTAGCAAACCAAAGACTTCCTGGTAAATTTGCACATCCTGCGACTTTGCTGATAGACGCTTTTAGAATACTATTTTATTGTATATAATAAATATTAGCAAGTCACAGGTTTTCACAAACTATCAACTACTTTTATATTATGTAGCGTATTTTTTATTTAAAAAAGAAACCTGTTAAGAAATACACACAAATGGATACATTTTTATTAATAAATCTATTTTGTTTATTTGAACAACCCCTTTTTACAAAATAGAATTTGTGATCTGTAAAGAATGCAAAAAGCATATAAATGTAAATGTCATGCATAATATTAGCTAGTTATCTATTACTTGGGATAAGTGGAGGAAATGAAGAAACTAGTACCAAGGGACCAACCTTTTAAGTAACCTTAATATCATTTTCCATTCATTAAATGACAAAAACAACTGAGCAAATTTAAAAAAAAACACTTTTCTGAGTTTAGTTTAATTCAATTTCTAAGATTCTAATATACTTTTAATTGAATTAATTTCATCCTGGATCCCAGAATGAGATTTACTTTTACCCCAATTTCCAGCTATAAGCAAAATCCTGGGAAATGAGTAGCCCTAGAGTCTAGTGTGGAGTTCAAGTCAATTAAAAATGCTTATAAACTATAATATTTGCTGTTAAATTTTCTTTGGGATTAGAAATTAAAACTAACTTAACTAGCAGTAGAAACTAAAAATAAAATATTAGCAAAAGAAACACCAAAGAAGGGAATCCTCCATTGTTTAAATACAATCTCAATCAGTGCAGCTCAGATCAAAAAATAAATATCAACTTATATCATTGAAAATCTCACATTCAGCTTGAGGCTGAGGATGTTCTTTATAGATTACTCATTACATCATTAATGTAGGGGCATTCATAAAGGAGAAAGGATTTGTTTCAATATATACAAGGAATGAGTGAGGGTGAATGATCTTGACACCTAACATTTTTTTCTTCATACATACTGAATTATGCCCACTGCATTTATTCAAGAATTTTCAAGAATTTTTATCTGCAGAAAACCTCTATGGCTGATCTTTTAAGGAGGTATAAGCCACTTTTGAACAGCTGTGGATGGGGTGGTAAAATGCATATTTTTTGTGGACATTATTTAAGGGCAATCCTATTAGTATGTACACTAAGAAAGTCAATACAAGCATACTTTTTTTTAGATACCCCTCTGCATACATAAAGATCATAAAGATGTTCTTTTGAGCCTCCTCCCCTTCAAAAAATGGTCACAGGTTTTCAACGCTATCTGTTTGGTCTTGGCATCGCCCAGTGATCCCAAAATTAGCAATGCCTTCATGTGAAAAGTGTGATCTATGCAATCAAAACTGAAAAAAATGTTTGGTTAGTAAAGATCACCTTAAAGTTAATGCAAGCTGTTTCAATAAACAGCCACAGTAACCATCTTAGTTCAATGTCTCACCAGTATTTCTGTGCCAGGATAAACATCCTTATGAGTTCTGTAATAGATTTCTCCTGTATTTTGGTAGGCAGTTACACACTGCTCGTCTTCATGCCTTGCACAGTTGACAAATCTCATCCAATTAGAGTCACTTGGGTCACTGGCATTAACAAAGTGAGAAGGCTTGCCATCTTTATAGATCTAAATATGTTAAAGATATAATGAGATTATTTATGAATATTTAAATAATCCAGGTGAATATTTTAAATACTGTTCAAAAAGCTACTGTCAAATAAATACATCTAACTCACCACTTTTTGCAAAAAATGCTTTGCATATTTAAGAAGCCACTTTTCAATGATTCACACATTATAACTCTCTGTAATTTCTTTTCACACAATATACAATAAGGGTAATTAATAGGGTTCACTATAGCCTCTCATCACAAAATATAAGGGTGAATAATATGGCTGCGACTATTTGTACCTAGGTACCAAAAGAAAGAGATTGGGATTAAAAAACTATTTAAAATTTTATTGTTGGGTTTGTAAGACAAAATGAGGTATCAAATGAAAGATAATTGAATGGACTATGTGTTTATAAACTTAAGTCTTCAGTTTAACTAAAATAAACTACCACAAATGACATCAGAATAGCTTGAGTCTAATGGTACCCTGGTGCGAATTGAGGCGCTGCGTGTCTTGTCTTTCTTTCAATTGACATTGATGAGCTATAAATGGACACTTAGTAAGGATAATGGGAATTTTTCTGTGGTGTACATCGCAGCAGCTCTTTGCATTTGCATGGGACTGGACATGTTAATAGCTGCATCTATCATTTATATATTTTTCAAAATTTTGCCATGTTGTATGCCACAAATAAATCAAGATTTTTTTTATTATTTAGGATTTCTAAATTTGACTTAATATTTGACACATTTGTTGCATCATACCCATGACTTACTTGCCAACTATAGCCAGACTCATGGGCAACCTCTTCATTTTTCTCTTTCTTTCCAACATACGGTCCAAATCTGGTTCGAGCTGGAAAAAATTTAGTTGCTACAACTCCAAGACCAGCACCTTGGATTTTTGATTTCTTTATAGCAAGACCTTGGGGCAAAGTTTTCCAGCAGTAGCTTAAGTCCAAACCTTTCTCACAATCTGGGGAGACCTAAAAATTTTACAGTGTGTATTGTATTCAATATTCTGTTTAATGGGTGTGGAAGGACACAAAAAGAAGTCATACAGAGAGTGCGCTTTTTTGAAACGATAGCTCCTAAATTATGAAACTATTTGCCTCCATCTTTGATGGAAATTAAAAAGGATAAAAAAATCATCTAAGAAATATTTGAAGACTTTTTCTTTAAACAGATTTTATACCATCAGAGCACTATGAGCATTCTAAAATAGCATGGACACAAGCGCTATACAATAATCAATCATCATCATCATCATCATCATATGGGCACAAAACCTGCTATGTAACTTGTAATAGAAATAAATGATGCACACTTTTCTGTGTTCGGTGTAACAACTGACTTTATTTTACCTTATACAACCTTTTTATACCTCTACATAAATGGTCATTCATTCCAGATTTCCACGCATTTACGTTCAAAACCTTCATGAATAAAAATTACATAACAACAACACAGGCCAATCAGGTCACAAACTTTCACTCACAACAATAATCGACAGTCATACCGTCACATAACTTCTAGTTGATTTTGAGAAAAATTTGTTTTTGTAAATGAACTAAAGTGAATATAGCATTTATATTTTTGTTATGGAGACATTTTAGACCTAAACTTAAATGAAGTTTTTGATTCATCAAAATACATAAAATACTGTAGAATGACACTTAACAATAAAAAACAGGCATAATGGATAACTTATTTTTGTAAAAAAAAGTGACTAAGGCGGTTTTGCAAGTGGCCTCCTCTAATTAGTTTAAAAATAGGTAAGTCAAATTCACACTATAAAGAGCTTGAAAATTGTTCATTTTATGTTTTAAACTGTACTTCCCCCCCAGATCCTTTCTCTTCTTTCTTCTCGAGTTTTGTCAATGAAATTTTACTATGCAAATGAAATTTAAATTCATACAAATTTTGTATTTTTTGTATTGATATAAGCATTAGCCTAAACACCTTAAACTGCAACTATCAATGTCTACCTTAAATTTTTACTTTGTTTTTTAATAACAATACTCTTTAACTTAAACACATTTTTTCTTGTCTTTTTTTTTTGGGTGGTGGGGGATTCATGACACTGACCAATAATAATATAAGATATATTTAATGTGACTTTCATTAATTAATATTTTCTATTGAAATCAATAAAATATAATTGCTATCAGATTGCTTTAAGTTTAGAGATTATTTAAAGATTATTAGTGTTTTTTTTTAAATTATAAAGAATTTGATGAAGAAGATCCAAAATTTTAATTTAATTAAAGTCTAATGCATTTGATTTGCTCTAAACATGTAACTAAATATTTTCAGTAGACTAAAATAATAAAACATAAAATTATTCATTACTTACTTTTTGATCTTCAACTAGAACAAGGCCATGTAATGGGCACTCAGACATATACTCAAAATTGCACTCTTCACAAACTGTAACAAGAAATTATTACATTAATATAATAGTAATACCTATTTAAGCTTAACTTCATCAAACCAACATACCATATCCTGCCCCCAAAGTTGAGATTAAAAGACTTTAGGAATAAATAACTATCTAAAGCAGTGGTTCTCAACCTTCCTAATGCGACCCTTCAAAACAGTTCCTCATGTTGTGTTGACCCCAACAATAAAATTTTTTTACTACTACATAAATAAGTGTTTCCCCAATGGTAATTACTACAATAAATTTTATGGGTGACAAACATGATAATTAATTACAACTATCAATGTCTACACTTATGTCATCTCTATAGGCCTATAGGAAAAACTATAGAATAAAATTATTCTCTATAATAATTATGAAACATACTAAATTTCATATCTAAATGGCAATTAATAACACTG